AGAAAACACAAGAGAGGAAGATGTGTGAGGTGAAAAACATGGCTGGAATGGCCTGAATTTAAAGAAACGGCCATATCGTTCAGGCCATCTCAGATTTGTCCAGGACGATATGGCACAATAATTGCGTACAAGCCGATTGGTCAAAAAGGCGGTCCGATCGTCCGAGCCGATCAGATATCGGCCAGGACGATTAGACACAGGCGATCGTCCCGAGGAGCCAAGCCGGACGGCCGTTGAAAAAGCAGATCGTCCGGTCCGATTAGGTGTATCGTCCAAGACGATGCATAATAATTGATCGTACCGGCCGAAGTTAAAACGTTTTAAATCAGTGCCACGTGTATCATCCAGGACGAACAGTGTATCGGCCAGGACGATTGTCCAATAATGGATCGTCCGAGGCCGATTTTAAGAATTTAAACGTGCTGACACGTGGATCGTCCAGGACGATCTAGTGTATCGGCCAGGACGATGACCATAAAATGCATCGGTCAGGACGAAATATATTATCGGACAGAACTATCATCATGATTGCAACCGAGTTCGATCAGATCATCCAGGACGATAATGGATCGTCCAGGACGAAGAGTTACAGTAAGCACAGAAAATTTCAGCATATGGGAATTTGAAGAGTGATTTTCCTATCGTCCAGGACGATAAAAGTATCGGCCAGGACGATGTGAATAGAATTTGAAAATCAATGAAGGATGGTGATGATCAAAGCCCTCAAAAATAAAACAAAAGAAAAGCAGAAGGAAAGAAAAATAACAGCGAAAAAAAAAATACTAAAAACAATCAATTTGAAAAGAAACCAAATATTTTGTTTTTAATTTTTCTTTATTTTATATATTATTTTTTTTTATCAAAGCAATTCATATGAGAATTTCTCAAATAATTTAAACTTTAGAGTTTCAAGAGATCACTAGGTTAACAAATTTCAATCGGAAGAAGGTAGAGTATCCGATTCTGTTAACCCTAGATCGGACATCCTTCAGGGTATAAATTGTCTTTTGAAAAACGGACGCCTAACTCAGAATAACTAAATAGGATAAAAAGAAGATCCATTCAAAACTTGTTTACAAAGAAAATATCTCATAAATAATATGTCAAAGTAATTTTTCTCAATTATGAAATTTGCAATCAAGCCTTTGAAAATCTCACATAACTCATAAGTTCTTCTAAGTTTTAAAAGTTTTGAAAAGAGAGGATAGCTTGCTTTTTAGTGGGCTCATTTTATGCCTCTTGAATCTTTGATTGGCTCTTTGAACATCTTTTGATTTTTGATACACATTTGTGTATATACTTTTTATTTCAATTTTGGCGTCTTTACCACTTTCAATTTTATCTTTTGCAAGCTCAATTCTCTTTTGCCAACTCTTAAAAGTTCTTAATTGTGAGTATATCTTCTAGATATTAGAGAATAGGAGCACTCTCTCTAACATAGGGAAGAACTACCCACAAAACAAAACCAAAAATCATATGATCAGTGCAAAGGCAAGATTTCAATTAACTTGAGAGATATATAAGAACTTTGGATATTATGCACAAGATAGATTTTTGTAGCAAGATAAAAAGAATCTTAGTTTCAAAAATCATTGGCTAAAATGAGTTATACTTTTGTTTATAGAAGAAAAGCATACCACTAAACAAGGTCAGAAGGAGGGAAACCATCAACGGTATTTCTCCCTTTAACCGATTTAGAAATACTAAACATAATCTCTAAAACTCCAAAATTTTAAAAGCTTGAAAAGTTCATCATATGGAAAGAAAGCAAAGTGAAAACAAAATAAATTAAAAAAAAAACAACAAAAAACTAGCACACAACCAAAAGACTAAAACAACACTAATAATAAAAAAAAAATTCAAGAAATTTTATGAAGCAGCATGTTTAAGCATTTATGAGTTGCGAGCCTCCATATGTCCAATTATCCTATGCTCCCACGAGGTCTTTGGTGAGAGCACACATGCAAAACTCAACAACAGTCAGATTTAGGAACCCAAATTGGTTTGGGCCCCTTCTGTGAGAGCACCCATACTTTATTTTTTCTCTTCTTGAGTCTATTTGTAATGTTCAAAGAGACTGATGCTAAGTAACCCTACACACACACAATCTTGAACTGGCTTTGTTTGTTCGTCCGATCTTTGATTCCTGAAAAGTTAGAAGTAACAGACAGTCCAAGAGAGTCAAAAGTGTTTGTCAATCATCAAAACATAAGTCATGAAAATAGATTTGCAACACATGGGCCATGAGATTCAATTAATCGAGATTCAGAAGATGAAATTTCACCTCTCCCATCAATAGGTTTATCCATAGCATTTATAACACGACCCAAAAAAGCCTCGCTCACAGAAATCTGAGCGATTCTTCCTGTTGCTTTTATATAACTCCTCTCTTTTATTATTAAACCATTGCTAAGGCTCCTAAACAAGCCTTGTAACCTCAAGGGAAAGAAAATCCTAAAAATAATGGGCCTTACAACCTTCCTCTATAAATAAGGAGTAGGCCTTGAAGGTTGAGGCTTATATCCACTGAAAGGTCCGGAAGGTTGGAGCTTACATCCTAGCTTTTAGAAGTCTCAAATATTGGTGTTTACACAATTGTGGGCCTTAAAATCTTATCTTATGATCAAGGCTGGTTGAGTTTAGGTTGGATAATCACTTCACTATTTTTATATATAAATTATCCTCAATTTTGCAATAATAAGACTATCGAAACATTCTAACTAGGCTATAGAAATTATAAATATGCTTCTCCAGCTAAATGGATCAAGAAATAAAATTAACCAAAGGACATAGCTACAATGCTTTTCAATGATACCACAAATTTTATATGTAGAAGCAATAATTTTCCAATAGGTTAAATACAAAATTATTTCACAAACATTTATTTTTCAAGTGTTTCAAATTAAAACAAATGCAAGATATTTGATATGACTTTGACCGAGAATTGTAACTTGCCACCTTTTGTTACACATAAATCTTGTTAGATTTTATATGTTAACAAGGAAGTACAGAAGGATAATGTGGTCCTCCTTTGATGAAGTTGTTCATTGGAGAGCCTCATTGAAAACGGCTAATAGAAGTAGGAAAGGTGAGAGGAAGAAAATGGAGAAAAAAGGGTTAAAAAAAGAAAAGTTAAAGAACAAAATTGCCTTAATTCTACCTTGAAAACCTTTATTAACTCCTTCGGGAACTTTTAAAACATCACTATGTGAGATTCCGCAAGTTGTCAACAAATGCAAATGCTAGTTAAGTGAGGTGAATGAAGAGAGAATGAAAGAAATGACCCTGAGGTGTACTAAAAGCAGTAAATTCTCTACCGCATCATAATTTGCCAAAATCCGGATTTCCAATCTCATTTTCGTGGGCTCAAGTATTGTTGGAAATACTAAAAAAAATTTAATTGAGAATGTTTTATTAGTTGATGGTTTAAAGAATAACTTATTAAGTATTAGTTAATTGTGTGACAAAGGTTTTGACAAGACTCTCCATTTTGATCAATAACTTGCACATTTATCATAAATTAGTACTTGCAGTTAGTACAACTTGTTTTGACAGGTACACAGAGATCATTTTCTTCTATTATAATTTTCTTTGTTTCTCTTCAAATTTGCATAGTTCCCAAACCACCTTCTTCTTTCTCCATCACATGCAATGCACAATCACTAGATTGAAGGCCAGCTATTTGTGACTTCCTCTTGTTGATGACTGGACAACCAATCCAATCCGTGTACCTTCTCGACAAATGATGTGAGATCATGAGCAACTAAGTGTCATCGAAATCACAAGAGTACCACAAGGTTTCTACTCGGCAAAGGCTCAAACACTTATATCAAGCATTAGCCATACATAGTCATGAGAAAATATCTCCCTGAGGAGGGATTAAAAAATCAAGAAATAGAAGAAGAAATCAAGCCACATAAAAGATGCCACAAACACAAAGGGTAACTTTTTTTTCTAGGAGGGATCAACAATACGAGAAGCACAGAGCCTTTGTATGATGATACTAACTTAAGAAAAAGCATTCTATGCTCTATGATTATCCTTTATTCAATTTGCCTGTCATTAGCTATGGGATTTCCAAGTGGTGGCGAGACGAACACTAGGACATCAAGGCAGCAAAGAACGTGTGTGATTTAGAGTTGTGGGTTTTGAAATGGGGATCATGACTGGTTTGCATTATCAAGACGAGCATTGGAAAGCATAACATGGGGTCATACAGCAAGTGGAGTAAAGTACGCATAGATGCCGTTGCGAGCCAACCAAGCAAACGAGGGCAAAATGCATAGGGGCGCCTTTGCCAGATCATGGGCAAGGTGTGGTTGTGTGCGAACATTAGCAAACAAAGCAAAGTCACTTGTGGGAGAGGCAAAAGCTAAGCAATCAAATCCCAAGCAAAGATGACACGCAAGTAACGTGGGCAATGTCCAGGCACACATGATTATTTTTCTCTTTTCGTTAAGATTGAATATTTGCCAATAAAATCATGTAGCAATAATCACTAACAGAATCATTTGGATGATGCAAATCTTTTTTTAGATAAAAAATATAACAAGCTTCCTACAAATATATGTATATGATATTAACCAATAAATACTGTCATTTTTAACTTATAAATATACTCATCAATACATAATCACCTCAACAAGATAAAAAATTCCTACATGTAGATATTATAAAGATATTACTCCTCTTACTCTAATGTTATTGTGATTTAGATGGAATTGCATTGAGTGAAACAAAACTCGGGTAGCCATGTTTATGTGCACATATTTCAATAAGCACGCAGACATATGCATGTTCATACATTTTCACAAGTGCATGAATCAATGCAAGTGCAAATACAGCGATGGGAAGGAATGGAAAATATGTATCCATGTCTTTCACAGAAAGATCTTTCTCATAATAGGATATACTTAAATTAAATACGAATGATGCTAACTTAAAGCCACACAACTATCAGCAATGCACCGGCCACCAAGAATGTAATAGGCCCAACATACCTTATCAACGTCAACCAGAGGAACACTGGACCTTAATGATGTTTCCATCCAATTATTTGGCACTGAAGTTATCTGAAGTACAAGAAACAGAATTAGATGTACATTACATAAGAGAATAACAATTTGGAAATGATTTGAAGACAAATTTTAAAGGGTGAACATAAAAATAGCTTAAAAAATAGAATGGTTGCATAATGAGACAAATAAATGCAATTGCCTGGCAAAGCAAATCATCAATAATGCAAAATATACCAGCAAAGTTCAAACATTTTATTATGAAAAAAGAACAATTATATCATCTTAGTCAGGATAGAGAAAATATTTGATTCTAAAAATACCTATAACAAATAGTTATCAAAGATTCAGCCGCCTACACAGTTGAAAAATAAGTAAATTTTGGATGCACAACCTAACAATTAAATTTTGAGGAATATTAGAGAAACGAACCCTTTGACGTTCAATATCCCTAGAGAAACCCCAATATATGATAAGGAAATGAGTACAAGATATTTTCTTACACTACCAGTTTCCTCAAACTGGATCATATATAAATCAACTAGATCCAGCTTTCTACATGTGTTTAAGAAATGATGAGGATTAAGAGCCTTGATAAATATATCACCCAATTGTTTATTGGCAACATGAGTGATAACCTTCATCAATATAACAATATATTTGATGAAATGATAGTCATCTTTAATGTGTTTAGTCTTTTCATGAAAGACAGAATTGCTAAAAATATAAAATGCAGCTTGATTGCCACATTTTTTAAATCATAAGTTGGCAAAAGGAAAACCAAACTCCTTACTAAGATTTTTTACCAGCATACGTGTAGTAGATCATGGACTTACAATATATTTAGCAATAAATCTGTTATAATTGTTTACTTATTACTTCTCGAGGTCGCGTTTAAACACTTGTCAACGGCGAATAACGCAGCACAGCGCAAAGTTCCACGTGGATCCATGGCGCAAAGCACACGGCGCGGTGAGCGCCATTTTGAACACGGCAGAAAATAAAAAATAATTATAAAAATCATTATATGGATCATATTATAGAATATCAATCAAGTTAGATAAGGCTTGGTTAAATATGTCTGTGGTTCAAAGTTCAAACTATTAAAATAAGCTTTAAGTTTGTCCAAAATTTCTAGTAAAATAGAGTCTAAATAAAGTCTAATAAATTCTAACTAAACTATTTTAATCATATCAAATAATTTTAAAATTAACTATTACATTATTTTAGAAATTAAAATATATAAATATTAAAAACTATTTATAATTATATTAAAAAATCACTAAAATTCAAATTGCGCGTGTTGAGCGCCATTGCGCACACATGGCGCAAATGGCGCGTGCCAACTTAATCATGTGCACCACGCCATGCGCCATGGCGTGCACCATTGACAAGTAGGCCACAAGATTTTCACCAAAATAAGCACAATATCTAAAATTTGGCTTACTTTCTTCAATCGATCCAACATAGTCAAAATTGCATTGGCTTCAACCTTTAGATGATTATCTCTTTGGTAAACAAATCATTTCCCAAAAAATTTCATGGTATAATTTAAAGCCTATATGAGTCGAGATACTCTACCAATTTTTCTTCTTCAAATTTTCTATGTGCTAGCTAACCACAACAACAGCAAGGGATGCATCAGGTCTAAGCAACATTAAAAATGAAAGTAAGATTCGAGATTTTAAGATTATGTATGTGCATGAGGAAGCTAATATTATGTGGGAAAAAGTAGCTAATAATATTAAAATTGTTGCACGGGATGTGCTTGGAAATTCAAAAGAAAAAGCTCATAATAATAAAAAAAGTTGGTGAAAGAATTAAAATGTGCAAGAAAAGATCAAAAATAAGAAGTATTATTATAATAATTGGTTTAGATGTAAAAACTCTGATAAAATTGAGAAATATATAAAGAGGCTCATAAGGTGTCTAAGAAAGCAATTGTTATGCAAAGATTTTAGCTTTTAATGATTTGTATAATAGATTAGATTCTAACGAGGGTGATAGAAAATACTTGAGTTCGCAAGGAACCCTAAGGTAATACTTGAGTTTGCAAGCAAACCTATCCCAAATCGGTGAACAAACAGTAACGAAACTGCTGTTTGCAGTAGGAAAACAGCCCGAAACAATGGAAAACAACATAGAAACTGAGTAGAAATCTGAAAAAAATCAAGCCAACCACTTGTATTCCACTAGTAGGTTAATAAAGACAACAACCATACAAGATTCTTTGATTCGAGAGGAAGAGAACTCTCCAAAATCTCTAGCCAAGAAAACTAGAGCCCAAGCCTCCAAGAAGATCCCAAAAATCAGCCCCAATTCAAGATAAAACCCTAAATCCCTCTTTCCCCCTAATTAACTCCAAAGCCCCATACAAAATCCCTAAACAGCCCTTCTATTCAAATTCCCACCCCCCCGGTGCCCCCTTCCATTCAAAATTTCCCTCCCACACTTAAATTAAACCCAAGCTTGGGCCCACTTGGCTTCCGCCCCCCTTGCCCTCTTTTCGCCCCATGTGGGGCCGCCTGGAGTCCGTAAGGATCGGTCCAACCGACCCCTCCTAGGCCGGCCTAACAAAGGGCTAATAGGGAATAAGTAAAGGAAATAATTAAAGTGGAGTTAATGAGAAAGAGGAAAAGGTGGCAATTAAAATGGAGTTAATGGGAATGAGGAAAAGGTTGTAATTAAAGTGGAGTTAATGGGGAATGGGAAAATGCAGTAATTAAAGTGGAGCTAATGAGGAAGGAAAAAAAGGTTGAAATTAAAGTGGATCTAATGGGGAAGGGGAAAAGGTTGTAATTAAAGCGGAGCCAATGAGAAAAGGAATAGGAAGAGGTAGCAACCCTTGGGGAAACCAATGGATAAGAGGAAAAGGTGGAGGGAATACCAAAAGGCTATGGAGTGGGGGTTGGCTGGCAATGGGAAGAGAGGCAGGGTAGGCTTGCCGGTGCGTGGAAATGGTAGAGAGGGAAGTTGGTTCGGTTGTATGAGGCAGCAGGGAATTTCGGACAGTTGTTTAAAAGAGGGTTGGAGGGCTCAACAGCCAATGGAGGAAGGTGGGGTAATGAGGGAGAGAAAATAGAGCCAAGAAACTTGTCACGGCACCAATTTTTGGGTGTTACGTTGCCCTACTCATAGGGACTTCACTCTTCTCACAAAAAGACTCAAAAACACACAATTTAGAAAAACTGAAGTTTAATTCATGATAATCATCATCCCCATACAATAGCCTAAGGCCTCAATATATAGGCCTCGAAACATGAAGACTCAAAATACAAAAATGCCCCTTGGGCTACAATACACAAATAACCCAACATAAGGGTAAAATTAGAAAGACTCTCAACATTCATGAAATAAGAAAATCAAAAACATGAAATAAATCATAAATAAAGGCTCCTAATCATAGCCATCGATCTATGACTCCTCCTGTGATAGACGCGGAAAGATTTCCTACTGATGTCCACATCAATTTGACTCTTAACAAGACACAATAGATAAAAAGGATTCATGTAGCTAACCCCAGATAGTTGGATAAAGGCTTGATGTTGTTTCTGTTGTATATAAGAAATATTGTATATATAAAATAGATCATCTCCCAGAGATTGAAGAAAAACAGACATCGAAGAGATACCATGATAAGAGATGACCATGCTTGTTTATTACCAATCATATCAAAAGAAGCGCCAAAATATAAAACACAAAACAGCGTAATGAATAGTTACAGCCAAGTCAGCAAAAAGTAAAATAAGGCAAAAATGGGCATCTAGGACTTCAGGTCATATCCTCTTGGGAAATGCTAATAATACTAATGACGTGCTACTGTAGTTGATTGGAAAAGTGTCAGTGTTTGAGACATGCTCAACAGTGGGTGGATGACCAAACTTTTCCCAGCAACAGTAAAAAAATAGTGCTGACAATGTTAGAAATAGTTTCATCTACAACTACGACTACCACCACAGCCCTACATCCATGAGAAATATGAACACCCATTGCTATAGCGGTAGGGGCAGTATGATGGAATCAGAAAGTGAAGTAACTCAATGACTTGAAGAAGTCATGGAGGAATGAAGACGTTCAGTACAATAGAATCCACAACAGTTGAACTTGAAAGATTGCAAGAATGGATGAAGGCAAACGAGGAACTTAGCAAAAATAAAATCTTAATTATGCTTGTAACAAATAGGGGCAATATTGAGAGAGCTCATGCCATCTTCCTCTTAATTTGTACTACTACTCTTGAATGGATACGCCATCTTGCTGCAACAAACAATAGTTCAGAGTAAAAAATGTATACTCAAGAGACATTGGTGCTTTATCTATTTGGCAATTTTCTAGAGCATGGTGACAAATGCAATAGTGGGAAAACATCATATTTGAAGATTGGCCATTACAACTATGCAACCCTTTGTTCAAGAAGTAGAGAGTAGGGATGACAAAAATTTCTATTAGAAACCACATAGATAAGAGATAGTAGGTACATTGAGTTAAATAGATGTATCGATAGTAGATGAAAAGTGATGCAAGCAAAAAATTTGGGAAAACCCCCAAATTTTTTCAAGCAAAAGTAACTCTTTCTAGGATAATAAGAAAATACACGAAAAAACACAAAATACAACTTTTTATAATAAAAAGACACTTACAACTTTGACGCTTACAAACTTATATAATAAAAACCTAAACTTGCATTTCATTTGCTTTGAGAAGAATGATACAATTAGAGTGGTCACATGCAGAGAGAAGAAATAGATAAGAGGCCGAGACGAAAGAGAACAAGCTCGTAAGCTTTCCTAGAAGAGGAGTAGAAGAGGTGGAACAAGCTCGCAAGCCTTTCCAAGAAAAACCCCCAGGTTTTTAGATCCAAAAATAACATTATATCATTCTCATAACATCCTCGACTGAAGTTTGTATAGTTATCCTAGGAAAAAGCCCCAAATTTGGAAAAACATAACAATGACGCTTACAAACTTATAACCTGGAAACACCAATGCTTGCATCAATTTGGTATTAGAGCAAAGTTAGTATATCCTAGGTCTTGGTGTCATGTTAGTTGTCATGTATGTGAGTGTCATGTGAGTTTTGTTTGTGAGTCATGTTAGTTTTAATTATAAGTTTTGTTGAGCCTTGGTTGTATCCATTAAATGGCCGATCCTGAAGTCGACAGCGGGTTCATTTACAATGCTCAAGGTAAAGTCGACATTCTTAAATCACCTTTCTTCGACTTTGTTCCAGAGATAGTCCAAAAATGTGGAGGAATATGTGGATAGAATAATTTTTCAACTGGCTGCCATCATCAAAGAGCAAATTTCTTCCGTCCATTGGATGATTGTCGCTAAGGAAAAGAAATATTTCGAAGACGAAAATCAATTTTCATTGCGAGCAACCTCATCGGGAGCTGAGCTCTTTCAACCGTTACCCGGTTCCCTGTGTTGCCCCTTCGGTTCTCCCCTCATGTTGTTTCCCGTGAGTTGTTCCTCCTCCCTTTCTTGGGTGCTAGTTCCGGTTCCTGTGCCTCCTTTTCGGTTTCTTCACTGGCTGTTTTCCCGTGGTTGCCTCTTCCCGGTTCTTGTGCTGTCTTTTCGGGTGTTGTTTTGTGTTGCCTGCAGGCCTTCCTCTTCCCCTTACCTGATTGGTTCGGTTGGAGGTGGAAATTAGCTGTTTGGCTCCCCTCTTTCTCCTATAAATATTAGGTGTTTTGGTAAATAAAATAAAATGTTATGATGTTATTTTTGGAAGCCAAAACCTGCGGATTTCTTTGTGGAAAAGCTTGAAAGCTTGTTCCACCTCTTCCTCTTCTTCTAGGAAAGCTTGCGAGCTTGTCCTCCCTTCGTCTCGGACTTCTTATCTTCTTCTTCTCCCCGCAAGTGTCCACCCCACCTATATCTTTCATCTCAAGTAAAGAAGAGCTCCTTTAGGTGTTTAATTTTATGTTAAAGTTTGTAAGAGCGTTTTTGATAAAATAAAAGTTGTATTTTGTTTTGTTTTTTAGTATTTTATGTAATTTTCTAATTATCTAGGAAGTCTTTTGTTTTTGCTTGCAAAAATTAGGCTTTCTCCTAATTTTTGCTTGCATCAAAAAGTTTCTCAGTCAAGATATGTTTCCATTCTAACAAGGAAAACCAATTCAATATTCTTACCCATTGTAATAAATTCCAACCATTGGCTTGTAATTTTTAGGGAATCTGTTATCAATATATGTCAAAAATATGCTAAATAAGTCTGCATATACTTTAATAACAAAATGCTTTTAATTTTCGTTTAACTTTTTTTTAATGCCAAGTAAGAAAGAAAGGTTTAAATAACATAAAATATTGCACAGTTTTTTTCTAAAGCATTAGGATCATAACCAAAGTTGTTGATAGAATTGGGACATAAACATGCTTACATTTCCATTTGGAGTAGAATCACGGGGGGGTGAATCCAGTTTACAAATAAATTTGGCATCATCTTTACTTTCATCAACCAACTTGGCGTTGCAATCAGGTGTGCTCACATTCATAATAAGAGTACAAGAACTTTCACTTGAAATCTCCTGCGGTTATCTACAGGGGTCAAATATCTAAATGAAAAGCCAGAACAATAATGAAAGTTATTACGTTTTAGGAAGCCAATTCAAGAGCAAGTTCATAAATTCCAATAGCAAGTAAATCGTGATAAGGTCTGCAGTTAGGTACTTTTTCATTATTTATTTTTGAAGGGGTTTGAAGACATCCTCCACCGCAACTAGAAAACTCGGGCCTCTTGAGCACAGGCTGCTTCAGATAAGAGCTACAATCTTGAGTATAATGAGAAGCTTGCGTGCAGAGATGACCATTAGGAAGACGTTCAGTACCACCATGCCCGTCAAGATGTATATCTTGACTCATGTCAAAAGGAGGATCAAATGCCTGCAAAAGTATTTTTTTGTTAAGTGATAATCTTAAGGTATCATCGTTACTCCCAAATAATGCAAAGAATAAGTAGAACCAGCCCATCAAGAAAAAACAGGGGGAATTGTGAGCTCGATCAAAAATTATTTGTTTCACGGACAAAAACAACGAAATTTAAAATGCAAGCACACATATAATAATAATTAAAAAAAAACTAAGAACAGAGAAGAAAATATTTACTTGAAGCATGTTCATGATGAAAAACGAATTTGCAGCAATACACCTGCAAATAACTTATGTTAGTAGCAAAGAAATGTTTTAGTTTTCCAACAAATTAGGCAAATGCTGAGAATTTTAATTATAGAAAAAGCTGGGGTCCTAATACCAAACAGCCCAATGGTTTTCTGCACGATTGGATTCAAAAGCTTATCATGGTCATAACAAGGCTTAATTCTGAATTCATAGCACAAAAAATGTTCTAAATCCAGTCAGAATGCTAATTCAATATGTGACACAATTGGCCTTGAAACTTCTAGTAGAAATATCTCATTAATCATGTCCTCCTTTAAACATATACCATGGTTGTTCGCATACTTCTGATGAATTAAGCAGATGCTATCAATACTAACAAATCTGGTGTATGCAAATAACAGAACTTCCCACATAAAATCCTTGTTTGACAATCAAACGGAAAAGCAAAAGCACCAATATCAGGTTAAAACACAGCAATGTGATTTCAACCAACATCATAAAAACTCTTTACCAATAAACTTATGCTTCACCAGGGGCAGATCTACCAAATGCCTGGGGGGGGGCCTAAAAAACTAAAAAAAAAAATATTATATGATTTTTTAGGAAATTTGTCCCCTTTCATCTATTGTTTAGTCTTTGTTACAAGGGTTTTTTGGCAATTGCCCCCCCTAAAAGTTTTAAAATACTATGGTCTTTAGGCAATTGCCCCCAACATAATTAAACACATTGTGTAGAGGTGTTATTGTTAGGGAATGATTGACCAAATACAAATAGAAATAGTAAAGAGAATTCAAAAATATTCAGAAATAGTGAACGGTCGAACCCCGCAAGGGGGCGCAACCCCCTTGGACCCCCGGCATATCTGTTAAATTTCTACACTTTTACTTATAGTTTGTACCCAAAGTTCACTATTCCTGTGAATGGATGCACCCAAAGTTCTAAAAATTAGACCGTACATAGAACTAAGAAAATAAAAAAAGAGATTCAAGGTTCAATGACTTAATTGGGGTTGAACCGAAAGACATAATAAATATTAAATTATTTAAGATATAAATGCCATAATAATGATACAATAATATAAATTTGTGACTAAAAAATAAACAAAATTCATACACAAATAATATCTTCTATATTTTTAAATTTAAAATCCTTAAATCTTTAAATTTGGTTTACTTTTAATATAAATTTAGTTCATATATAAGCTTATAAATTTAATATAAATTATTATTGATTTATGTTATATATTTAGATATAATTTACACATAAAAATTATATATATATATATATTTGTGTCTATAAACTATTCATATTAGATCATTTATAATTAAAAAATAGATACAAAATAATTTTTTTATAGTGTATAATTAAATTAATTAATTAATTAGATAAAAAATAAATATTAAACAAAAAAAATAAATATTATTCACATTATCAAATAATAATACTAATTTTATTTTAAAATATATAGTGCATGTGTTATGATCTTCAAAACTTCAACTTAGTAATTTAATCCTACATCACTAAGAAACTTTCTCTTAGTATTGTTTACAAATAATTTTTTGAATTTGCATGCGTTAAGAACTCGTGTGAAGTTATGAGGCCATGAGAAAATGCTTAGTCGGTACTTCTTTAACAAAAAATTATTCTAAAAATTTAATGATTATTAAAATTTTAAATTAATTTGTTAAGTTTAAAGCTTAATTTAATATTTTATACTAATTATATTTAATTATTTTAAATGGTTCAACAATTGAACCGAACAATTCAACAATTTGTCGTTTGAACCAACGGATCTAAATAGTTCATTCATATTTGAAGAATAGGCAGGTTTTAAGATGGGATTAGATCAACCATATGTCAGGCTACGTTGAACAGATCGAACCGACCAATCCAATCCAATTTTCAAAATCATGGTTGTACCCGCAATCTGCCTATCAGTAGCTAGTGTGGACATCCTTTGTATTGCCAAGAAACAAGTCCTCCGATAAAAACGCCGGACAAGCGAACCTGGGGAATAAACTGACTGCGCAAATATGTCATTATTATTAAGCAAATTTTAAAATGGGATCCCTCACTTTGGCTTCTTGAGTTCTGAAAGCTAACAATAATTTCATAATTTCCAGGAGGAAACATTTCAATATGTCCTTCTAAATCAACCCTGGTAAAAAAGTGAGATTGCTGATCATTGAATTGAATATAAGCAGGCCATTAGTGACTTAGATATTAATATACACTACTTTCTGCTGCAAACCTAGCTGCCAATGTAACACTAAAAGCACTGAATCAACATATAGCTCAGTGAACTCCACTGTCCCTAGCACACAAACTCTAAATTAACGCTTTGACAAGCCCAGCGGCCAGCACCCATGGCACAAGTTATGATTCTAGGGTTAGAATGTAATGAAGATTAATGACAGCATGAGAGGAGAAATTTAGATTGAAATGAAATCTCTATTAAAAAAATGACAACAATAAAACCTTTTTAAATAGGATTTTGATCATTTCTTTGAACTGAATGGATTGCTTGTACAGAAAATCATAATTTAATTTTAAAAACTGACTTATTTCTCAGTTATGGAATTTCAGGGACCCTAGTAATCGGCAAGGAAAATAAGAGAGGACAAAATGCAGCCTTGCCTAAGGAGATGGAATTAACAAGCTACAGTCGAAGGACCAAACCCAAAAATTTAATGACTCAATAGATTTACTGGTAGCATAGCCACTATGAAAATACGGAAATTTGAATTCAGAGGCATTACAATTCAATCCTAAAAATCAAACGAATTCTAATCACAAGACTCAAGCAAGTACGGTAAATTTACATTTTCTACAGAATGTGCAGAGAACATTCACAAAAAGAAAACTAAAGGTTTCAAAAACTTCAAATTCAGTTGATAAGAAAACAAAATAAAATCATTATAGCTTCATCTTAGCTATTTTGGTTGGATTTATGAATCATTTCAACATTCATTACAAATGCAATACCATTAATCTTACACCATAAAATTCTTGATTAAATTTACTCAATTCTGGATTAGTGTAACAAAGTTTTAGCATAAAATTTAGTTACCGTCTAAGCCTTTGAAATTTTTGCAGAAGATGAGAAAGAAGTCCCTACACAAAAAATAAAACAAGCAATGTCAGAGATCAGGAATAGTAAAGCATGCATGATTGTATGGAGATCATCTAACAAGAATGCATGTTGCCGTTGGCTAACAGAGGCCAAATAAAAAATTAACAGCATGGAACAATCTAGTTTGACTCCAAAAATTTCAAAGGGGAATTGTTGACAAAGCAGAATTGAATAAATGTGTAAACTTATACCGAAAACCATTCTAAAATATCCAGCACTCACCTTGTGCTCACGTGAGAGCTTTCTAAATGACCTTTCATATCTCCTCACATCCTCCTCTGCAGCATCAGAGTAACTGAAACACAATGTTTACATTTTCTAGTTAAAAAGAGATGCAGCAAAGAGTAACAAGCAAGAACCAAAGATAAGCACCGTGTAAAGCACCGTGTAAGTAAAAAAAAGCAAGAGAAGCGTGACCCAGTGGTTAGGGAGGATTCCTCCTGTGCCTTGGCCCGCATTCGAACGCACACCCCTCCCGCATAAAAAAAAATCCTGTTAAAACAACTTAAAAGAGGCGAACTGATTGCATTCACCTTTATAGATGCTCCTCTCATGCAAGTTAGGTGTTATGTTATATCCTAATAAAGAATTTAAATCATAACTTCAGTTTTGGACTATAACACACAAGACAAAGAAACTAGACAAACAGGGCACCATGAAAAGCCATAAGCATGATATTTTCTTTCATAAAGCAATAATATAAAATGTATAATAAAAACATCAATTGCTATTTTTTTATCATTAAAAAATTATAAACATCTAATCTAAAAAATATAAAATATATATAAGAAAATCTGAAATATAAAGATTCAATGCAGATTAAAAATATAAGAATATCTACTTTCAGAACGGGAGAAGAACAAAATAGCTCAGGAAAAAACCATTGATCTAAAATTATGCTTAGAAAGAAAAAGGTTAAAGCCGTATCTAAGATTATAAGGCGAGCTATGATGCACAAACACGGATACAACACGACACGGGACATATCAATTATTGAAAATTTCAGGCACAGACACAGGTTAGACATGATATTATAATTTTTTATGTAAAATTAGTGAATAAAAATTAAATAAATATACTATTAAAAATAATTTAAAAATAAAAAGCATTTAACTAGAATTTATGCTTAAAATGATTAATATTAGGATGTCGAGAGTCGGGCGTCGTGTCATGTATCAGACATCGAGAGAGGAGAAAACAATGATATCGAGAGTTGAGCATCGATTTTATGCAACAACTATTGGGCTTCGATGTCAAGAAGGCATTTGTCGTTGATCTTGAGAGGGCGTTGGTCGTCGATGTTAAGACGACGTTGGACAAATATAATTTTCAAGTTATGGGTGTAGAAATTGCTATCGTCGAGCATCAATGTCAAGACAGTGTCAGACTTTGATGCTTAGATAATTTTGAATGTCAATGTTGTAATGACGTCAAGCTTCGATGTTGAGATAACATTGAGCATTTTTGTGAAACTAAAATTGTGACCCACTAAAGAGAAATAAAAATGAGAATATTCGATGAATGAGGTATTGAGTGCATGCAATTGATTTAGTGTTATGGATCAAAAATATAAAATTTAGTTTTTATATTTTAAATAAATAAAAATTTTAAATACGAAAAAATATATTTAAGACACATGTCTAATTTATATTTAATATTTAAGACATGCGTGTCTGACATGCATGTTCGACATGCATGTCCAATTTGCAAATGAGCTGTTGTACGACAAACGTGTCGGAGATGTGTCGGACACATGACATGTCGGATACGTGTCGAACATTACACATCTCTTTGAGTAGAAGTGTCGGTGCATCATAGAAGGCAAGTGATATGTCGTAGAAGCAAAAATACCAAGTAAAACATAAGAAAAACATAGGAACACCAATATAAAGTTGATTTTTTGGATTATCTCTTCAATAATAAAGCAAGATACAATTAATCTGCTATTCAAGAGGTAGATTCGCTCTCCCAAAAATCCTAGATATCGCTAAGAACTCACAACAATGCTAGAAAAATAAAACTTAGCAATAGCATAATCCTAACCTTAGTAAAAATTCCCTCTTAAATAGCCCTAATCACAATAACACAAATAGAGCCTTCCTAAACAATTAAACATAATTTAGGAAATATTCCTAAACAATTAAACTTTATTTAGGAAACATTCCTAAATAATTAAACATTATCTAGGAAATATTCTTAAATAATTTAACATAATTTAGAATACATTCATAAATAATTTAAACATGATTTAAGAAATCTTTCTAAACAATTAAATATAATTTAGGAAACCTTCCTAAATAATTAAACATGATTTAGTAGAGGTAATAGATTTGACTTATGTTAAGAAAGGTAGAGGCATACCTAAAAAGACTTGGTTAGAAAATATTAGGAATGACCTTTCTTTATTAGATTTAAACGAGCATTTGACTTTTAATAGGACGCAATGGAGAAAAAGGATACATATAGCCGACCCCACGTAGTGGGATAAAGGCTTGATGTTGTTGTTGTTGTTGTTGTAGGAAAACTTCATAAATATTTCTCTTTCGTACATAGTGAATATTAACTTTCCTGGGCCCCACAGGGGGAGTCGAAATCCCCTTTGACCCTCCCCCTGGTTTTGCCCAAACCTAGGCTAGTTTGGCTACTGGACCGGCCGGCTAGGTGCAGGTTGGTCCAATCCACCAGATGCTCCTCTTGTTCCTTCCTTTGTCATATCAATACTCCCCCCACCCCCCTCGACGCCCACCAAAAAAAATGCACCTTATCCTCAAGGTATAAAGATAGAAATGACTAACAAACACTATGTCTTCAAGGGGGAGCCATCTAATCATCCCAGAATCTCAGCCCTCTAGGTTATGCAGCTCCACCAAATAGCTCAGCCCTACTCCCTGCATGGTTTTGAGTGAAACCATGGTTCTGTACTGTCTAGCATCTCCTTGCAGCACCACCCTCCTCACATGACCCATAACAAAAGAAGATAAGGATGTTACATCCGTTGTCATATGCCTGAGAACAATCATGGAAAGGGCTGCACCAGAGCCTAACACCACATGTACTAGAGTTTTTGGATTAGAAATAATTGAGTCATTATGAGAATAGTTTGGCAATAAATGGTGGCCAGCACATGAGCATCTTTGCTAAAGATCTCGCAGCATGCAAACGAACAGTTTAATAGTTGTGCAAAGAGAGTTCCATGAGATCATCCATCAGAGGAACCATGTATTCTGATGGAGCCAAAAGGGTATCAGCTCGAATTTATGATATGAGGACTTTGATGATCTCCATGTATTATGCGTGAATGCTTTGTCAATAAGCGTCCACCTGGGTCTTCTCTTTCCAAGCGTATGAGAAGAAGCAATGAATTACATGGAGGTTCAATTATTGAAGCAGATTCCATTTTCCAAGCCTGAATATGATTTAACCAATCTTCATACTCCAAGCTTCCATAATTAGCTAAAGCATGAATTATGTGAATAATAAGTATCAAGACAATGCTATCATCTGATCTCTCTTTCAGCAAGTATCTGCAAGCCACATGTACTTGTTGAGCAGCTCTTTCCCTCAGTTCTGAACTACCAACAGGAGAGCCAACTGCCCAACAATTAAAAAGAAGTTGTAATTCTTTGTAATCCTGGTCTGTAATACTCGCGCTTCTGAGCGATGGACGCATCTCAGGCAAGCAGAGCATAACACCCTGCAATGATTAGTGTATACGCAACAATGTCACTTTCAACAGTTCCTTCTCATTCCCTGCATCTACATGAGTTTTTTGTCTGCCCTATTTCAAGAAGATCATCTAAAGCTGCTTAAAAATGGTAAACCAACAGCTCATTTGCAAATGAAAGCTGTTTTTTTTTTTTTCAGGGATATGCCATTTTGGGAGCGAGCTGTCATTTTCATTGTTTGAGCAACCCCATTCTTCTAAAATTGAAGCTCCAAGCTTCTCTGGCAATGAATTGTACTGCTCAATTGGATAATAGTGAACCAAGCTTCAAAGGAGAGAATGAAGAACATGATCACCAGCTTCATTAACCTTCCGTGAAGGAGCCCGGAATGCAGAGGCAATTGCTTCTTTCAGCTCATCTTTGTGATGAAGTAGTTGAGGGCCTGCATAACTGATGGCAATAGCTAGCACTTTTAAGTATGACTCCAACTGCTATTTCAAGAGCTGGGGAAAGTGTAGCCTTGGTGGATGAAGGTGTCCCTTGTAAAGAAGAGGTTACAGACTGCAGCAGTGGTTTGATAATGTTGGCAGCCGAGTCTTCTGGGTTAGAATGTTCACCAGCACAACAAAGAAGCCCAACTTCTGCAGTAGCACCAGGAAGAATATTTGCATTCACGAATCTGGAAATTTTCTTCAATGCCTATTTGAATAACAATTTGGAAAGTTTTCCTGGCATAACTTCTAACATGTAAAAGTAATGAGTGTCCTCAACAAGAAAAGTTCCTAGCCATTCTGATAATGCAAGGCTTTGAAGGAATAGGGGGGCATCTTCATTATCACCCAATACAATTAAATTGGAAAATATAGAACCAATTAATTGCATAGTTGCTAAGGTCTTTGGAGGATCATTTGCATCCATCCCATGCAATGCATTAGATAGGGGTATTGCAACAACATTCATGAAAGAATCACCAGCATGTATTTCCTCCTTTTGGGGAGATGCCAACAAAGAAGCAAGAAAGAGATCACGGCCAACATACGCCAATGAGGTAACATCAGTTTTCAACTGCTGAGTAGGAGTCATTGTCTCCAGGACCAACTGAAAGCGAGATGCAATGAAAGGATGACCAAGGTAGGCTCCACATATGCTAAAACAAAAGTTGCAACAACAACCGTTTCTGAAAGAATTTCGGTTGGGCTGAATTGACCCTGATCAATTAATTTCAGGGTCACTTTAACAAAAGGTTTTTCTAATGTTACCAAAGACAAGTCAACCTGTTGGTCATCCTTAGCATAAAATTGTTCCTGCCGAAGGCGCTTTTGATAGCTAATTACTAAGTATCTCAACCAGCGCTCCAAGGAATAAATCCAACGGCCTCCATTTGAAGGATGGTAATATTGCTCCATGAGGCACCCCAATCTCTCAAAGTGCTCATGCGTCATACTAACATGTTTTAAGTGAGAAACTACAGATTTTGCTATAGCTTTAGCAAGCGTTCCAGTTTTGGTGTAAAATAGAAAATCTTCTGTTTTTAGGAACCTCAAGAGGTACAGGATACGCTCCATTTCCAGTCAACAAGGGAACTTGAATTTCATCCTTTGAATCTTTGCGTATCACCAATCAATGTGCCATAAATACAATCTACTTCACAGCTACATGATCCTTGTGGATCACCAATCAATGTGCCATAAATACAATCTAGGGTATATCAGTTAATGGACATGTTGGCATCCATATCAAGGTTAAGTGATCAGATTCCAGCCAAACTTTTCATGACAATGACCTTTTCTATCAAATATCCCACCAAGGTCAATTTCATCCACTTTACTCTTTTCCAGTTTTCAATTTAGATTTCTCTCACAATTGAATAGAAGCCTTCGTAGGTTAATTCATAAAGGCCAGAAGAAATGCCTAGAATCAGCAAGCTCAATAGACAGGTTGGCTAGTGTAATTCATCGCTAACTTAGCCTTTTAGACACTTCCCAATGAACAATCCCTCAAATAAGTCGCATATATTTGTTTGGTTTTGTGTGCACAAGAACAACTAAAGATGCACAATCTGGATGCCATACCATACCAGCACAACATAGTTGTTCTAATCTACATATTTTCTCAAAACTCTCCCTAAAAATCCAAAAGATGATAATCAAGGTTTTCCTCAAATATATTTTCAGAGAGTAATCTAATGCAGCAACCCCTCCTAAAGGAATTATAAATCTATTTCTGGTAGAGTTAAATCAACATGATAACATGCTGGATCAGATTTTTAATTACTTACACAGCCAAACCATTATCTAACATCCAATGTAAACTTTGCAAAACTAACTTTAACTTATACATCCGATAAACGTCCCACTAAATCAACCATAATATCGTGAGAAAATATATTAGTTATGTATGACAAAAATCAAGGAAACCTCACTCCTGCAATTCATATTGAGGAAAATAAGTAATATAGAATAACTCAAACGAAAACCAAGGAGAAATATGAGCATAAAATAACCCATAGAACGCATTATTCAATTCAAGAAGAACAAGAACCGAAAAAATTTTATAAAAAAAATACTACATCAATAATAAAAAGAAAGGAAGCGGGTGAAGGAGCAATGCGTAACAACATGAATTCCAATAACAAATACATGGCATTAGGCTAGGGGAGAGAAAATGGAGAAATATTGGCTTGTTAGGGTTTACTTGATGTATGCGCTGATGATTCGGCGGAGTGATTTGATCTCGAGGGCTTCCTCGAGCTTGCTGTAGCGCCGCGGCAGCCCCTCTGCTTCGCGACTCATCGATCGCTGCTGATAAGCTCCGGATGCTCTTCTCGCGCTGCTCTCTGCGGCCAAAGACGGTACGTGAAAGCTAAAATGGGGTGCTAAATACTAAATACTGAGTAATCCCATACAAAAATACTTGCTGGTAAGATAAGTTTAGGGGGATAATTGGTACAGTGTATAATTAAATGCAATTATTACGTCATAATACATTAAGCTTTTTTCTTTTAAGATTGTGAATGAGTCAATGTAAAATTTCTCAAATATAAATGAAATTCTTGCCTTTAAAGAAATTTTATTTTTTTATAATATATTAATTTTAAAATGTATTGATTAACTATTTTAATATAAATAAATATTCTTTTTTCATCTAATGCTTGTCTTGTGTAATTTAATATGATTTTATTTGAAAAATTAAAAAAAAAATTATGGGAAAATTTATGGTGAGGTTTTGTAATTGAAATTTATTGATTTTTTTTAGAAAATATATGATTAAATTGTTATGTGTAACTTGAACTTAGGTTTGTCTATCTATAATATTTTATATATTTTGTAAAACTAAGAAGACTAAAATGCTTACATATAAAATAAAATTTTAAAGTTGGATAAATATTATATCAATAAATAAATTGTTTGCAATGTCACATTTAATAGATATAATAAAAGTTTTTTGTTAAACTATAAACTAAATCTAATTTGTATATGCAAACTAATAATAACTATTTCTTTTTTTAATAATAACTATATAATTCTTAGTGATTCATTTTAAATAAAAATATCATATAATTTCATAATTATACATTCAAATTTATCATCCAAATTCATAAGCCATGCAAAATACTACTGAAATTTATCAATTTCAACCATTCTTGAAGTTGCCTATTAAATAATTTTCTAAAGTGCACATAAATACAGTAGTAATTAATAGCCATGTTAATGACCACTTTAATTAAAAAATTTGTTAAAGCCATCTTATTAAACATGTGATCGTGTACCTCTCGGCTAAGAGATAAGAGTTCAAGTTCTTAAAGAGAAAAGAGAATAGTTGAGACTGAGTGTTTTACAGTTAGGCAAGAGCAAGACGACCATGCATATGGTTATCACATAAAAACTAGGCAAGAGCAAAACAATCATGTGTATGGTTGTCACATAAACAAAATGACAATTTTTTGTGTGATTATATCAAACAATTGCTTATATACGCTATTGGGAGTTGAGTGTCAATGACATTAACTTGTGTACCAAATAAGATAAGAGAACGAGTATACGCGTTATAGGTTCATGGAGAGTAAATTTTTTTCAGATATAGTGAAAAGTCACCAAAATGTTTCGTATGACCTAGATTCATCGTAGGAATTGCTAAGAATTTTGATTATATATCTTGAGTATAGAGATAGAATTTCGTTGGGTCTTGCTAATATGGGGAATAAAATAGGCAAAGAGATGTTGCACATTAAAGAAGTCAAGTAAAAAATAAATCCTTCATAAATTAAAACTAGGCTATGTTACAATGGAATAGATGAAATGGGGTGAGCTCTCAGCAGTAGCGAGAATAGGTTGGAAGTAGCAAGTGCAATTATAACAGAATCAAGTACTATTTTTTTCTTTAGTACACTTATCTTTTAAGAGTCATAAATCATTTTTAATTCAGATGGGTCAACATTGTAATATTTTATGTCTGTATGAGCTTTATCTCCAATTTTCATCACTTTTTTAGAGTTCTAATGTATAGGTGTATGTAAGTCGAGTAATTTGCGAATTCGACTCATTAATGAATTCATGAGTCAAGCTTATCAACCCACAAGCTTAAGCCTGAGCTGGGATTAAATCTCATATATTCAACATTGTAATATTTTATGTCTGTAGGAGCTTTATCTCCAATTTTCATCAGTTTTTTAGAGTTCTAATGTATAGGTGTATGTAAGTCGAGTAATTTGCGAATTCGACACATTAATGAATTCATGAGTCAAGCTTATCAACCCACAAGCTTAAGCCTGAGCTGGGATTAAATCTCATATATTCTACATTCTCAAGTTTGAGCTTGACAAGGCTCACAAGTTAGCTTGATCAAATCCCATATCTCTCCCATTTTACATTAAAGTGTTGCCAACATTGGAATACTTGATGAAGGGAATAAGAAGAAGGCACAATTTTATTACTTAAAAAAAATTATATTTTATAGCAGTTGGGCTTCACGAGTTGATCATCGGATATTTTCGATTGACTACACCATCTTTAAAAAACAATCATTACTCATTAAATATTGATAGAAGTGAGCACTAAAGTGTGAAAAATGAATACTTAACTTGTTAGCTTTCATTTTTCACACTTAACTATTATATTCACACGTAATGATTAAAGAATGAACTCACATGGCTTAGAATCATATTTCTATTATATTGATGGGAGAGGTTAAGGGCATTGCAAAACACTAATTGGTACTTTTGTCGGATCAAACCAATTGGATTAACACTAACTTATCGATCATATGTCTTACATTAACAAATCGATTTACTTTCATTTGTTCAATATCAACATAATGGCCCTTCCATTAGTATACATTCTAATTGCATCAACAATCATAGCCATTAGTATGAATAAATGTATGGATGCAAAGTGACATCTCTTAGTACAGCCCAAAATCAACTCCATGTTCTTATGGGCCTTGCTAACAACCTTTAAAATAATCCACAAGGTATCAATAACACATGACAACCTATTGTCAGAATTTATGATCATCAAGATTACAATGTATGGCACTTAGTGCATTATGAGATTAATGTGTGTCCACCACATTCTGATTCTCTCATACTTTGTCATGACACAGTTATTTAAGGATCATTTATGCATAGCCTTAACCTAAAAATTGATCCTCGTTATACCTACAAAAGGTGGTGTACAAAAAAATGTATAATTGAGACAACGAACCTTACTAACATCCTTATCTATTCCTTTTCTCCTTAATAAAGATAAGTAGAAAACTCTACATCATTTTTTATTATTATAGTTAAGGCTTTGTCATATGTCATTCAATAGTTGTCAGATGAGAAATCAAAATTCACAACGTCCTCCTTAGAAGTTACAACAAAACAAATAAAATGATCAAATGTGGATTAATATAAGTTGGGCTGGATACAAACATATAATACTCAAAATACATGGGTTTCATATTTATAATTCCACTTGTCAATAGGAAAGCAAGATGCTAATTTTACCTTTTTTACTCCCTTTTGGTTCTCCCAACTTTCCATGTATCCTTTATTAGCTACACTCTTCTTTACTTTGACCCTCATTTTCTTTCTTTGATTGCTTGCCACTTTTTTTTTGCTTTGCAGAATTTGTCATAAAGGAATCAATCACATGCAACTTTTATTTACATTGAATTGTGGAAATATATATCTTATACTCTTCTTCAATTAAAAAAAAAAAGCGTCTAAACATCTTGATCAGGTGATTATGAGTTCCAAAATAAAATTTTAACTTTATGTGCCTCATAATAGTAACAATTAGTCAAATATGCTTGTTATTTATATTTTAGAAGAAATGCCCCAAAATTCATTTCACATAAATTACCCATTTTTAAGTGTTGGCTCTTTATTTGAAGGCCGAAGTAAATAAAATTGGTTCAAACTAGTTTGCATTTAAACTTTATTCAAACATGGTTCAAATATAGCTTAATATAATTCAAATATTTTTAAATATGATTTGAACTTGGTTTAACGCTACAAGAATCCAATGCAACTTTAGAGGATTTATCCATAAAAAATCAAACTAATCCCATCGGTATTGATAATTTTTGCTTGGATTTCTTGTGGATATCAACGCAACGCTAATAATTGAGTAGGAAAACACATTCTAACAATTAAATTTCCTCCAAAAATATTACCGAAGGATTTTTGGCGAATTCTTTAAATATCTTTGGTTGAATAGAATCGTCGAAAATACCAGGATTTCTAACAACATGCGACAAAAAATTCATTCAGCCTTACCGACAGAAGTGCCATCGAAAATTTCCACCCCCATTATCGACAAAAATTTTTTGCAAATAGTTCCGCTAGTAAGGCTGACATAATGTCATTGTGTTCGCCCCATTGAAAATCAATCATTATGATTTTTGTGGTATATTTGCTAATATTGTTACTACAATTATTAATGTTGACTTTTACTAATGTTGTGATTGATGATGTAATGTATTGAGATGTGATGAATTATAGAAGGATAAAGTAATAAAAATATTCAATATAAACATTGATGCATATATTTCTTTATATGATTTATAGCATATTATTAACTTTTATTTTTCATTGCATTAAATTGTAAGATTTTAGTTACTTGTAGGGATATATACTCATTACATGATTTTATATATATATTTTTTAAAAAAAAAAGATTAAGGATCATATGATATGAGGCTCCGGACAACATGAATAATTTTTCTACCAGCTGTTTTAGACAAAATGCAATAATGTTATTTTCCACTTGTCCATTAGTAAAGAGTTAAATGATTAAAATGAAAGACAAATGTAATTCTTCAAATATAGATCATAGAGTGAGACACAAGCATACATATAAAATTGAAGTATCTCCAAACCAAACATCAATGATAACCAAACATGAGCCTAGAAATAGGTTGAACCCTCAAACCCCTTAAGTGTTTGGGCTTGCAAGTATTTTTTTCGTAAGATGAGATTTTTTTTATATTGGCATTTCCAAGACTAGAGAAAAATTTGTTAAGAAATTTGTAACAGGTTTTAATGATAACTACCCCTCTAATTCAATAAACAATAGAGTTCCAAATAGTGAATCTTAAGAACAACAATCTCCAAACAAGTGAAAGGGTTATAATTTTCCACCCATTCAACAAGATAGTATTAGAGAGATCTGATTTAATATGATTAAAACTGTAATCTGTCACTCACTTAATGATGTGTAATTATCGTATTGGCTAGGATTGCTTTATCCGTACAAGCCTGGATCTATTTAAAGCATGGCTGTACCGCTTGTAGACATATTGGTTAATACATTGTCTTTACCTTTCTTGTTATTGCTTTATGTCTTCAAACCATTGGTTTCTACATGGTATCAGATAGGTTTTAGATCC